TGTCCTGGTAAAGAAATATTGAATTATAAGATGATAAATAGACATTGCTTCATCAAATTATAAGTCTTGTTACCTGTTAAGTACTTTTGTGTCCCTGTGTACTCAAACCATCAAGGATAATTTGATTTCAAATGAGCTTTTTCCCTTCCAAACAGTAAATTAGCTGCTTGTAAAGAAGTTAAATATTCGTAATTCTGGGAATTACTCGCTGTATTGGCTATTTTGTTGGATATAAGACATAAATAGGGCCAGAATGGTTTTATGCCAATCACATGCTCAAGTAGCTCAATAAAATCAGCAGTTTTATATGTTGTACTTACAGAACTATTAGTGTAATTAATAGGTGATAAATTTAAGAGGTTATTCCTCTGTCTACCAGAAGAGGGAGCAAGTCCTGTCATTGATATGGCTGTTAAAGGAGTACCTAAATCAAAATTAGCTCAATAAAGCCCCCTGAAGACAAACTAGAGTTGTCTCCTGCACAGTGGACTGGACTTACTCTCCGCAGTGGCTTAATATGCTGCAGTTATGTAAGATATCTAATTTTATTATAGGCTATTTAACTATTATGATGGGCTATGAAGATGTAAAACTGAGGATTGAGGGCTAGATTAACATTAATGATCAGGACAGGAAGTGGTGCATCAGTATCAAAGCCAATACCTTAGTAGGCAGTGTGATATATGTGCTATGTTTTAATGGTGTTTTGGCGCTGTTCAAATATAAACATATTGCTGTTGGAACAAAACCTTGTATCTCCAAAGTGGTAACTTTACAGGAGAAGGAAAAAACCTTCTTTACTTTTAATGTAAGTCAATGGAACCAGACGTATTTCCAAGTCATTTTGAACCATTTCTTTCGGCCCATTCTTCATGAAATTTACACACAGCATAAAGGCAAACAGGCATTTTCACATTATGTCAAAAAGTGAAAAATGACAAAAATGGAGATACTAAGTTTTGTCCCGACAACAGCGATATATATGTTTTTAAGACAGACATGTAGATAAAAAGTGAGCTACAGATGGTATTGATCTGATACCAGGTTTTGGTATCAGGCTGTAATCGCAGAGGGAAAAAAGAATGAATCTGAGTAGTTTAAGTAGTTTGAGTCGCTTTACTGAAGTGCTTCAGTTAAAAAATAGCTCATTTTAGAGCTGTTATTTAAAGAAGAAGTATCAGTATCAGAAAAGAAAGAGTGATATTATATGTATGCTATCTCTAGACCGAGCTTTGGATGACAAGTGGAGGAAGTAAAATTGTGTTAGTTTTAATGTATGGGTTTAAGGAGGTTCTCAGACAAGTAAACAAAGGCTAAAACTCTGCGTCCATGGAAGAGAGTAGACACATCTCCGATTCAAATAAACAGGCCATTAAGAATTTACAGCCAAATCTGAACAAAGCCTCACTTACAAGGTACAAAATAGAGCTGAGCCGAATCCCAAGTGCTCCCTGACTTCCTGTAACCCTCAGAAGTCAAAGTTACAGCCAGCAATAACAAAGGCATGAATTTTACATCAACTGTTTATCACTTGTAGCTCAAACAAGCAGAGAGATCCTGCTGAAAGTGCACATTCAATCTGTATCATGCTTGTAAGTAGAAAATATGATATTTTATACTGATTTCAGTTTGATGGAACATCGATGTTGTGTGTCTTCTTTTGCAGAAAAAATCCTCTCTTTGCCATTGAAACAAATGGGAAATAGTCAGGAGTGCAGATTCAAACATGTACTGTGAAATGTAAATGTTATTAATTACATAACTAACATTATATAACTAACATAAGTAATGTAAATGTGTATTGTAAGTGAAATAAATAGGAAAAAGGAAAAAGACATAACCACATAAAGTCATAACCCAAAAACGCTAAAGGTCAAAATACAGGACACTGACCAAATTCCATTTGCACCCTAAGGCAGTGTTTTTTAATCCATTCATTATAACCAGACAACACAGCCGCTTGACATCATCATACTGAGTCCTCCATTGGCTGAGTGAGGTCTGTTACAGAGAAAACACAGTACAGTCTGAATAATAAACAGTTCTTTGGAGCAGTGCCACAGAACCGCTTTTAAGTTTTCTAAATAGCTTTGTGATGGAAGATGTGTCCGTGTGAAGAAAGTTTAATGTACTTCCAAATAAGATTTTTCCAAGAACCATAAGTAGCTAAGGTCATAACTCGCAATTTAACTAGGAAAAAACAGGATATCCCAAAAAAGAAGCCCCTCAACTGAGAATTCCTACTCATAAAGTGGGCGACATGGCATAAATTTAACATCACAATACTTCAGGATATTTTTACGATACACAATATGCCTCACGATATTTGGTTTTTCTGAGGTTTGCTAAGTTGGAACAGACAAAAAAGCACCAGTTATATCACATTTAAAAATACTATCCAAAACTATACAATGGTCAACAATTTGTTCAACATTTACTACTGTGCTGCACTAAATCAAGTTATATAATATAAAATATAATAATTGTGCTCTAATACTCTAATGACACACATTTGTGTGGCCTTTTTTTGTGACAATATTGTTACATTGCCCACCCCTATGCAAGCTTTTCTCAACTCTGAGTTTAACTGGAGATGTTATAAAGGAGGAGAGCGGTCAGTGGTTGAAATATGAATAGTAAAGCTCGTAACACACAACATGGTGTCTGTTTAGGGGAAAAAGTCCTGCCCTTCAAGAAAAAGACCAATCAGCCACCAATAAGCAGGGAAAGCCCCCCTCATTTTTGAGATCTTCGCAAGTACAGTTGCCAGAACAACCTGTTGTTGAGCCAAATGCTATAAGCTATTTATGAGGCTTTTGTCAGATTTTTCCAGTCGTTTCAAATATGTTTTTCAAACAGTTGTTTGGCCTTCAGTTTCATGTTTCTAGGTCTCTCCTTATTCAAAGAGAGGGGGGCCTGGTCTTTTCATTGGTCCTGGTCCTGTCATTTCTCTCCTTTTTAATGAGACTGTAGCAGTATTTGCTTTAGATTAATCAACAAACAGACACAGTAGCTGGTCAAATCATTGATCATGAAGGTCACTGTTTTGAGAAGGTAAATACAGATGAGAGGTTAGAACTTTTGTGTCTTCTCTATTTATAGTTAGCAAGTTAGACGCTCATATAGAGGACTTTTCAGAGGATCATCCAGACCAGCCTCGGTCACGGCCATTTCCCAAGGTGACGCAGACTGCAAAGGTCTAGCATGA